TCGCAGTTCGTTTATTTCTTACGCATTGCATACCGTTCATAAAAAGTAAATTGCCAGGCTTACAACAGATTTTTTTTTTCTCAGATGGATCAGGAAGCCAATATATAAATAAGATGACCGCTTTTAATTTATGCAACATGCAAAAAGATTTTGGCATTGCTTGTCATGGAAAGGGCCCTTTTGATGCTTTGGGAGGAGTATTGAAACGGAACGCTGCGAAAGCGAGTTTGCAAGGCCACCATATAACAACGGCCCAAGAACTTTATTCATGCGCTATTTCTAAGCCAGATTTAAAAATACACTATCAGTTTTTTTCGGAATCCGATTACAATAAAATGGCAAGAAAATTGAAAAACTATTATCCACGTGTGACCCAAATAATTTATTGTTGTCAAATGGTATTCATTTCCAACGGAAGAAAAATGTGTGGAATTGTAATTAAAGAAAATAAATGTTTAATGTTTTACTTATTTTTCTTCGTCCTCGTCATTCTTTGTAGCATTTAAGTACTTCTCCCAGAATGTTGATACCAAAATGAATAATGTCAAACTCGGGCCTGTTTTAAAGCCACGAAGACTTTAATGTGGTAGGGGAGTCCAGCCAAAGTATACGCTCGGTAAAAATATTTTAAAATTTTAGTAAGGTATACAAGGGGTAAGGGAGGATCTGCAATGATTAAAAATTGGTCTACGTGATTTATGGACATACCCCAAGCTGAACTGAATGTTGCACCCAGCTTGTAAGTTACTCATAGCTGCTATGACTCGATGGAGACGCATTATGAACTAACTTGCGTCTTCATCGTTTTCATGCACGTGTGGTGTATATATTGCTGAACAATGATTATTTTTAATTGTATCTCCAAAACGACTTCTCAGATATCGCTAAAATTTTGATATGTTTTGTAAAATTAAATGATCTTTCAATTAAAATTCTACAATAAGAAGTCGTTGAAGACCCTCGAGGTGAAAATCAAGAAAAAAACATTTGTAACGTATTTTTTCATACAAAATCAAATATCTCTAAGTGTTTCATAACTTTCCTTAAAATTAAATTAAAACATCTTTCATTTGAAGGGTCAATCCTAAAAATCGATCAAGAGGTTTAGAAGTTATGAATTTGAAAAAAAAAAAGGCATATTGAAAAAAATAGTTTTTCGCGGGTCCGTAACACGTCCGTAACACATTTCCGTGGAATAAAAAATACGAGTCTAATATTTTTTGAAAAGGAAGAACTAACGATACAACCTATTGACTTGATTTGAATCACATTATGATGATGATGGTCCCATGGACGATTTACCTTTAAGATAATTAAATATGACAATTTAACCAGGCTAGCAAACAAAATCGAACTGGTTACAGTTACAGATATAAATTTCCTCTAGAGTTTACAGTTGCTTTACAGCGATATAAATGTATTAAAACTCAGGCGTCCACCTCGTAGTTCGCCCTTTTTGTCCAACTAAAATATTCATAAGTATTACAAGCGCTTAAGAGTTACTGAACAATCAACAAAGAATCCTATTACGCTAGCAACCCCGCAATCTGATGCCTTCATAATTTTCAGCAATGTCAGGAATGCCTCGAACCCCCGACATTTGCCAGAAAACTTACTGCTAACTCAAGGTATCTTTCAAATAAGCTTCTAAATTGATTTTTTTTTATAAAATTTTAAATTCAGTCCTCTATATCCGTAATACCCGTGCGAGGCTCAAACCTGGTAGACTACTTTTTTTGAAGTCTACTAAATTATATCTATGAAAGCCACTTCCTCTTCAATTCGATCACACAAATATCGAGGCAGCAAACCGTTAACTACTTTGAAAATGAACACCATAGTCAAATATACAATTCTTTGCTTCATCGACAACCATTGTTAGGCGTCTAACATCAAAGTTGAGGAAGTGAATCTATTACATCTCAATATCAAACGCATTATTTTATTCTGCAATCTCGAAATTTGTGTTTCATTGGCCAGAAATAATTTGGAAAGGTAAAAGTCTAGATAAGGTGAGATGATTGATTTGTATAGCTGTATTTTACTGGCAATAGTTAAATCGTTTTTCAGTCGACATAGAATTCCATACTTCTTGGCAATTTTCTTGATGACATTGTCAATGTGAGAGTTGAACTTAAGTTTGTCATCAATAATCATGCCAAGATATTTAATCTCCCGAACGCGATCAATAGTCTCATCATCAATTACAACAGAGACGTTCTCATTTACTCGATACCGCGAAGTTACCATAAATTTAGTTTTACTTGTATTCAATTTCAACTGCTTATACTTCAACCATCTACTAAGAGAACGCAAATCTTCATTCAAGTGTAAAACGGCATCATCTAAATCCTTAGCCGCAATGAATAACACAGTATCATCTGCAAAAAGATTATTGTCGCAAAATAGTAAAACACGTCGCACGTCATTAATATACATAATAAATAAAAAAGGACCCTAATACACTTCCCTGGGGCACTCCAAAGTTATTTTCCCCACGGAACTGGAAACAGAATCATTAAAAACAGTCCGTTGAGTTCTGTCAGACAAATAGCTTTCAAACCATTTATATGCAGCACTCGTAATCAAGGTTGCAAAGACTCATTTCAGCTAAAACAATGTTTTTCTAAATTATGAAATAATTACATGCCATGATCAAATTTTGAATTGGTAGGATACAAGAAGAGGTTGCAAAGAATGTGTTTGACATATTAAACCTGTTTATTTCACTTCATGAGAGTCACAATCAGCGATTTTTTACAAACTCACTCACTCACTCACTCACTCACTCAGCGATCAGCAAATCGCTGATTGTGACTCATAGAAAGCAAAATTTACAGGTTTTATGTTTCCAACGCATACTTTGTAACCTCTTCTTGTAAGTTACAAGTAAAACATGCCATCATACCATCTTTTGGTTTTATTATTCCGAAAAACATTATTTTAGCTGAAATGATTCTTTGCAACCTTGCTCGTAATTCCAAAGCGCATGATTGATCTTAACAATAAGGGCCTAGAAATTGTTTCAAAAGCAAGTTTTAAATCAAAAAAAAAAACAGCAACAATCGTATCTTTACACTCAAAGTAATTTTTCAATTTGCAACAAATTAAACGCGGTTTCACAAGAATGACCTTCCCGATATCCCGATTGTTCTGGTATCAACAAACTATTACTATTTAAATACTCCAACAGCTGGCCTTTAACAACAAGTTCTAAAATTTTCTCTAATGTGTGCAACATGTTGATGGGCGAAATTCTTCGGCTTTAATCGTTCCAGCAACTTTTTGAATAGGAACCACTAATGATTCCTTCGAAATTTGTGGCACATGTCCAGTTTGCAATGATTCATCAATAAGGTCCAGCAAGATGTGACCAATGACATGAAAGCAATCTTGAATAACTCTAGCATTAACATTATCTACTCCAGCCGATTTTATGTAATTGGGTGAAAACCTTCAAATCTACAACTACTATTAATTGGCTTTTTTATTTCGTCAGGTTCATCGACCAAATCAATGGATTGATTAATCAATGAAACACTGTAGACAAATTAATCATTAAATATAGATGCAGGTACTTGTTCTGACTGTTCTAATGTGCCATTAAAAGTTATGAACCGCGGTTTGCAATTACTAGGTTTTAATAAAGATTTCAAAATTTTCCATAACTCTTTGCTAGTGTTTTGATGCTGATCAATCTTCCTTTGAACATATTCTTTATTCAGTTTTCTTTATAGATAGTGAATACTTATTGAGCGATTGTGTACCTATTCCAATGATTGTCATTATTTGATCTTCAAAACTGTTTGTACCATTTTTTTTTCTTTTCCGTTTAAGACGCAAAAGATCCAAATTGTACCAGTTATTCAAGCTTTTCAAAGAAACAAACTTTTGCTCAACTAATTGATTGGTACACGTTTAAAAAGCGTTGTTAAGAACCGCTGTAGATTCATCTAAGTTACCGGCCGCGAATGGAAAATCCACGCTTCTCTCCACACGATTCGAAACAGCTAGCTATTTCCTCCAGCACTTCAATTTGACTTGTTCATCGTTGTTATTGATATTATCTAATACATTAATCACTAAGGTCTAATGATCGGTTATTCTCAACGTAACTGAACAAATGGAATCAAACTTGGAATAAACGTGGTCAATTAAAGCTTCACTGTGCCTGGAAATACGCGTATATTCGTATCTACCGTTTGTTTTAAATTGAAAAAATCAGCTAAACGCTTCAAATGATTTGAATTATAGTTATCACGCCAATTAATATTAAAACCACCAGCTAATATATTTAATCTACTAGAATCAAGGAATGCCTCGTGCCAGTTCTCTAAAACTTTAACAAAACGCTGGTCACTAGAACTGGGAGAATGATACAAAACACCATATTATTACCCATCTTTATGCCACGTAAAACCAACAATCAATACGAAACTAACGATTTTCAATTGGCTCACTACTTGACTAGCCTATTGGTCCCAAGCAAATCGATGAACGTACCCTATTCTAGTCTACATTCTAGTACTACACCATGTTTGTTTTGATTCGCTATGAAAGTTTGACAGATAAAATGAGGGGTTAGTGGATTTGCCTATGTTTCGAGGGGTGAATCGGTTATCTTGGGACCGAAGATAGTAACAGAGCTGAGCCAAAAAGTTGAGCACGTTTCTTCGGGACCTAGGTAAGTCTAAGACTAGTAGATCTGAATCAAGTCTGAGATCGAATTGAAATCTAAATTTGATGTTGTGATTTCGCTGATAATGATTACTCAGGTTGCTGTCGTTTTGGTCGTTTTAACGGTTAAAATATCAAAATTGAGAACAAAAAAATCTTCCTGTGACATCACATTGATTTAAGATATTTTGCAGCACTGGTAGAGAGTTCACTGAATTTCAAGGCTTATTACTCTAGGTTTATGAACTTTCTAACTTACTAAGGACAACTGTGATATGGATTTCAAATGGAAAGCAACTCAAATTTGTATTCGGCGTACGGAAATTTATATTTTATTCATTTTCTTAGGTGGATTACACTGCCGTTACATACATAAATGATCTAAGTCTGTAAGAATTCCCTGAAACAGTTATGCTTGTAGCGGCAGCACTCGTTCTAACACATTATTATTCAATTGTTTCATGAAAGAAAATATGGTTCGTCTATTTACTTGACCAAAAAATTAAACATTACAACTTTACTTTATGCTAAGTGGTTGAATTTACTGGATAATCATAATTTGTTTTGATAGACGTTACAAAAATATTGGCAAATAAATTTATTAATACATAACCTACTGTTCTGCCGTTTTAAATCATAATTAACTAGCAAAATAAACGCATACGATTCGAACCGATGGATGCTTGTGAATTTTGTGAGGTTGCATCCATAAACGCTCTAACACATCTACATTAAATCAATTTCATCTTTAGTCATTATGAGAGGATTCGTCAAACACGACACGGCATCCTTAACGGTGTGGTAGATAATATTTTTTATCTGTAGTTTATCTTCATGATTCGAGTGTGTGTTGGTCAGGTGCCGGAACTCGTTGGTTAGTTTAAAGCAATAAGCGATGTTCTCGGGAGAAACGAAATCTTCCGCAACTTTAACACAGTTATGCAAGTTCCGCACCTGATGCGGTGCTCCGGCAGGGATAAATATGGCATCTCCAGAGCACTGGACGATGGAATATGCTTCTACATTGTACTCCTCCAACAGCCGTCTACGAAGATTTGCGTCCAGGTACCACTTTTGGTCGTGAATGGGATCGTGATTTGGTTTGATGCTGCCACCACGTTCAACTTCGATTTTGTTCAGCAGAGAACGTATTTTATCGGCATCTTTTGCATGAAATATATGCCACAAAGCACCGGGGAGATCAGCCTTGTCCCGTATTCGTTGCCGAGTGAATACGTCACATTCATCGGAATCGATTGCATCTAGGACTTTCTGTATATACTTGATCTGATCAACGTCCTTAGGTACGGCCACATAGACCATTACATTGACAGCATCCGATACATCCAGGTGAAGATTCGTAGTTCCTTTCGTTGGATGTAATGCCGACCCGTAAGCACTATACATTTTCGGTCCTAAATCGGGCCGTACGAAGAAGCTACTTAACCGACTCGCCAAGTTCAGGCGTCCCTCACGTCGAGTATATTCCGAAATGGGAAGACTCGACATCAGATCGTTGAATCGAGTCGGCATCATCTCAGCGAAATCGTCCCCAGGTGGCCAATCTTTTAATTTTAGCATCATTGGCCGATCTCGTTCATCCAGTAGGCGATAACCGATTCTTTCGAAACCTTCCCAAAATACTTTCATCTTTTGACCTCGTACCAACTTGCCGTTCAGACAATTGATAAGATCGTTTTCTTCATCGCCAAAATCTTCAATGAAAGATTGTGGATGCCAAAGACTCATGTCCAACTTGTTCGATACATAGGATACCATAACTGGTTGTCCACGCTCCCACTGGTCGTGGAACGTGTTGTAGTTGTTGTCGTTCAAAGGATCCAACAGTCTCAATAATCTTCCATTACATAGCCACTGATGAGCCACGTTAGGGTATAACTTTTCCGATTCTTTCAAGCTCATGATCCGTTCCCCTTTGTTCTGAAATTCGATACCCTTCTTCATATATTTGTTATATTCCATGATTTGTACATCGTCTGTCAAGTTATCCGTTTGGTTCTGGCCTGTCAGGAAGACGAACTCGCTTAAGAAGTCATGCAGGAAGCTTTTAATATTTGAATGTTGTACTTGAAACTCTGCCGTAAAATCTACGAGACTTTCTGAATCGGAATATTTCTCACTCAGATGTTTTTCAAAAAGACCCGAAATATTGAGGGATTTGTCGAATTTTAACAGTTGTTTGACAATCATGTTGAACGTCTTCCAGTCCAACTTTGGTGATGCTTTAAAACGATGTTCCTCGCTGTACGCTGGCTCCTCAGTGTTTGACTCCTTCGACAAACCCGTTTTTTCCTCATGCTCGTCGATATTTCGTTCTTCTTGAATATTGTTTCCTACACCGTGTTCCAGTGGATCATTTTCAGTTGATTTCTTCACCTCATCTATGATTTTTGTTTCGGCTAAGCATGGTTTAACATCACTGTTTTCTTTGTCTTCGATTTTGATACCACATAGTTCAGGCGATGGGGAACTCTCCTTCGTTTCTTTCGTCTCCTCGATATCCAGCTCTTCTTTAATTTGTATAATCTGATTTTGCTGCTGCTCGTCCTTGTTAATGAAATCTTCCAAACTTTCAATTTTGATTTCCTCTTGAAATCCTTCGAAACTATAACTTTGTTTTTCTTTGTGTTTCAGCTTTTCTACTACAGGATTTTTATCTTCACTTAGTTCTCGGCCAAATATAGCCTTGCAGCAAACTGTACCGTTACCCGCTTCACTCTTGATACTTTCTATGTTTTTTATCGTAATGGAAATCATCTTTGTTGTACTGGAGGATCCTGGACTTAAGCTTTTGACCTGTACATCACTGCCTGGTTCCAGGCCTTCATCGGACTTTTTAGCCATTTCAATCGTAATGGGATAGATGAATTCCAGTCTGTCTTTAATCTTTCTAAACAGTGACTCCTTGCTCAGTGGACACTCGCAGTTTAACGGTATTTCCAGCAAAGCACAAACACCATGCATCTGTCTCACCAACTTGTACAAACTGTTACTAGGGATAATTTGTGTCAGCATCAATTTTTCTTGGACGTGTGGCTCTCGGTTTGTGCAATGCAACCACATGTAACCATCGCGATCTCTTGTGCCAGTATCGTTATTATTTGCGGCATATTTGCGACACTGTGGAGCAAAAAAAAAACAAAACACAGTTTTTATTTTCTTATACGATATCCAAAAATCTTGTAATTTGTTAAAACACAAACCTTATAACAGTCGATGCATACAACGAAACCACATGTTGAGCATACCCAATGGTAATTGAACAGTGTGGTAGAACAGACATCGCACATCTCTCGTACTCCATTTACGGCCTGCTTCCAGGCGATTGTTTTGTCTGAAAAGTATATTGCATGTTTGTTAATATATTCAATATCATGTAGGTAGGTAATATTTGTGAAAACAATTTTTTATCGTGAAGTCCCTGTGATCACGAAGAAAAAGGTGCTGCAAAACGTGTTCAGCATTTCTACCTTGTATGGCTATTTGGAGCTACTCGCTCCATCTCTCACCGTGGCCAATTAGAATTGTTCTCTCTGTGGAGGCTAAGTTGAACAAGCAAGCCTCACCTCCGCAGATAATTTCCAAGAAGATCGAAGCCAGCAGAAGTAAGTCTGCATTGCGGTGTCTAGTCTAGTGAGATATCTTACCACCGTCATTTGGATGGTTCTAATCAGTGTTGGAAAGTTCATTTTCATAAAAAAAGTTCCTTCGTGGTTCTTGAGAGAATCATTTCGCGGAAGAACTAGCTATGCAAACACGTACCACGAAAACGTGATCTACCCACGTTACGGGGCTAACGGCTGCTTACAAGTTACCAAAGTTCACGAGTCATAGTTCACGAGTCATAGTTCACGATCTATTTCATCACATATCGAGAACGAAAAGTTGTGTAAGGAAGATAGAACAAACAATATCTTTTAAAATACGCTCTCTCTCTCTCTCTCTCTCGCTGGTGACTCTAAAAGGGAGTGATATTAGTTCTTTTCAATCTCAAACAATAAAGTTCACTCGAGAAATATGTGTATGTAAAATTTGCATCGCTAAATGCTCTAGCGAAAACATCTTGCTTGTGATAATGAACTTTTGACGAAATTTCCAACACTGATTACAATAAAGAAATCAGGCTTGACGGCACAATATGGCCTTAAGCAGAATTGCAAGGGACGTGCAAATAAGTGCGTTACATTGAATATAAAATGCAAAGTTGACATTTACATAGTTGATGATGATGATGATGATGATGATGATGATCACCTCTTACCCCTACAAAGGTTTGAGCTGGACGATTTATCATTGAGATAATTACATATGACATTTTAACCAGGTTGGCAAACAAAATCGAACTGGTTTCAGTTACAGATATAAATTCCCTCTAGAGTTTACAGTTGCTTCACAGCGATATAAATGTGGAAAAGCCCAGGCGTCCACCTCTTAGTTCGCCTTTTTGTCCACCTAAAATATTCATAAGTATTACAAGCAATCAAGAGTTAATGAACAATCAACAAAGCATCCTATTACACTAGCAACCCCGCAATCTGATGCTATCATAATTTTCAGCAATGTCAGGAATGCTCACGAACCCCCAACATTTGCCAGAAAACTCACTACTAACTCAAGGTATCTTCCAAATAAGCTTCAAAATTGCATTTTTTTTTTATCACATGTTAAATTCAGTCCTCTATATCCGTAATACGCATTGACAGACACCTTACCTTCAAAAACCATTTCCTGGAGGTCAAAGAGAACTGTAAAACGCGGATTAATTTACTAAAGACGCTCTCCAAAGAGCATCGCAGCAACAATCGAGATATAAGACTGCGAGTCGCAAAAGCCATCATCCACAGCAGGCTCCTCTACGGAATTGAGCTTACCTGTAACGCTTCCAATCATCTAACTACAATCCTCGGTCTAGTATACAACAGCCCGCTCGAATTATCTCTGGACTTCTGCCATCCACACCCGCTATCTCCACTTGCATTGAGGTCGGGAAATTGCCTTTCGCCTTCTGTCTAACCACCGCCCTATGCAAAAGAGCCGTTTGCTTTCTAGAGAGAACCGCTCCCTGCCCCAGAAATGTCTATCTCCTTGACGAGGCTAATTGTCAAATATCAAACCAGGAGCTACCCCGGTTGCTTTACTGCAGTGGAACGGGACTAGAAATTGGGCCGCTCCACAAGTGCGCTACGACAAAACCATTAAAAACAGATTTCGGGCAGGAGACAACTCGTCAGCTCTTAGAAACACCGTTGTTAAACTACAAACCATAAAATACGCTAACCATACGATCCGCTTCACCGATGGCTCTAAGGCACAAGGGCGAGTAGGCACAAGCATGGAACTTTATTCCAGCACTACCGCCTTCCGGATATTTACTCGGCTTTTTCCGCTGAGGCCGCAGCTATTACCCTAGCAACGTCTAGTCCATCCCCCGGTCCAGTAGTAATTTTTTCCGACCGGCCGCGTTCTATCAGCCATATGCAGCCCGACTGCAAGGCATCCTGGATTCAAGAGATACGGAACAGAATCAATAACAACATCGTACTCGTTTGGATTCCGGGACACTGTGGACATACGTAACGAAACGGCAGACCAACTAGCCGCGTCTGGAAGATACGGTCCTTTTCTAACACGTGAAGTCCCCGGACAGGACATCAAACGATGGGTTTCAAGTACGGTTCGCGCAGCCTGGGTGGCCGAGTGGAACAGTCTTATACATCCTTTCATACGGAAAATCAAAGGTGATACGCATAAATGGGAGGACCTTCTCATTCTAAAAGACCAAATAAAAGTTTCAAGACTCCGCACTGGCCATGCGCGTTTCTCAC